ATGCCGTACAGCACAATACGTATATAGGAGTTCCCTACCGAATGTGCTGTACCTCGATTCGGTGTCTAGCAACCTTCTAGAGAAAAATGCCAAGGGTTGCCGGGAGTTGTTAAGTCATTGTTGTAAGACTCCTCCGATTGCCGAGTCGGATGCGTCTATTGCGATGCTAATGGGTGCTCGGGTGTCCTGATGTGCGAGCATTGTTGCTTTAGCAATCAGTTCCTTAACTGTGGAGAATGCTTTTCGTGCGGTGTCGTCCAAATCAATGGATTTCGCATTTCCACAAAGTTGGTCGGTCAGAGGTTTCATGAGTAATGCGCATTTCGGTATGAAACGTTTATAGAAACTTACGAGGCCGTTAAACGTGCGTAATTGCTTGACGGTGGTCGGTTCTGGGTAATCCAGAATGGCCGCCACTTTGGTCCTAAGAGGTCGAATGCCTTGAGCATCGATAGTGTGTCCTAGGAAGTCTAACGAGTCGGTTCCGAATTGGCATTTCTGAACGTTTACAGTTATGCCATGTTTTTGAAGTCGTTCGAAAACAAGATCCAGATGCTTGAGATGTGTTTCTCTGTCTGGACTTGCGATTAGACAGTCGTCAACATACGCGTGTACGAAGTTGAGACCTCGAAAAACGTCGTCTATGAATCTTTGGAATGTTTGAGCAGCATTCCTTAGACCGAAAGGCATTCGCAAAAATTCATAGAGTCCGAAGGGAGTTATGATAGCTGTTTTCGGTATGTCGTCAGTAGCCATAGGAATTTGGTTATACGCTTTAACCAAGTCGATTTTCGAAAAGACAGTTGTACCTTTCAAGGTAGCTGTCAAATCGTGAATGTGAGGCAACGGGTAACGATCGGGAATGGTTTTCGCGTTCAATCGCCGATAGTCACCAGTTGGACGCCAATCGTTGCTGTCCTTTTTAGGGACCATGTGCAACGGAGATGCATATGGGCTACTTGACGGTCGTATGATTCCTAAATCTATCATGTGATCGAATTCGTTTTTCGCTAACCTTAGCTTTTCAGGAGCTAGTCGTCGTGCTTTAGAGAATACAGGTGGTCCTGTAGTCGTGATGTGATGTGTAACATTACTGGTTACACACGGTAGTTTCGGTTGAGTTTGTTGTATCCCCGGGTACTTATCGAGTAGTGCCTGATAAAGTGGGTCGATCATATGCTTAACTGTGACTGGGGATAATCTGCAACCAGAAAAGGAAGTTACGCAAACGGACAAATTAGTGTTTCCGTCTACTAGTCTCCGTTTGCGCGTGTCGATGATCAGATTGTGATGTTGTAGAAGGTCCATACCAATGATTGGCATAGAAACATCTGCAACAACGAAAATCCAGTGGATGGGTTTGCGTAAACCCACGTTAAGGTAAACGTACCTTTTGCCATACGTAGCGATCGGTTTTCCGTTTGCCGCCTGTAAGTTTAGAGCCGAATCTTGAAGCCGATCGTTCGGATTCGCTGGGAGAACGCTAACTTCTGCGCCAGTATCGACGAGGTAGCGAACTCTTGTTGTCACATCTGTGACGTATAACAGACGGCTATGTTCGCCGGCTACGGTTGCCGTTAACGCGTGCCGGCTTGGAAGTTTCCCGAGTTGTTTTTCGAGTCAGTCGGTTTCGTGTTGGGAAAATTGCAGGGTTTTCTGAGATTTCCGGAAAACTTTCCATACTGGTTATGACACCAGCACCAGTCGGGGTTATCTGTCTCTCGTGGTCTAGAGGCAGATCGCTTACGTGAAATGCTTCTACGTGGTGTGCGCGATCTCTTACGGTCGGTACGAAGACTAAGATAACGCGTGAGTGTATGACATAAATCGGTTATATCATTCTGAGTCGTTTGAGGTTTTTCTGTGACTGAAAATACCTCGGTAGTAGAAGGTTTCGTAATTTCTAAAATGCGGTCGGCAGATGCAGCTAGCTCGTCTAAGGCGTTGTTCTGGGACGAGACCAGAACTGCTTGCACCTGTTGGGGAAGTTTTGACAAGAAGAGTTGTTTGAATAGATCTTCGTCGAAAGTTCTTGGGCCTATTATCTCTCTCATCCGTTGCAACATGTCTGTCGTAGAACCGTGTTGCAGGTCGATATTGTTGAAGAGTTGATCTAACCTTTGTCGATCAGTTAGATCTCCTCGTTTAAGAATCGAGCGTTTTAAGGTTTCGTAAGGATCGGAAACATCACTAGTAAACATACTAGGTGTTACGTACCTGTTGAATTCGCGCGGTAGTGCCTTGACTACTGCGAGGAATTGTGCACGTGTGTCGATCACGCCGTGCTCGGAGAAGTCGGCTTCTGCGTAGCAAAACCAGGCTTCGATGTTGTCGGGCCAGAAAGGCATCAGTTGAAACGAAGGCGGGGACAAAGTCTTAAGCTTGAGTACTTTAGGTGTCTGTTCAGTCATGATGAAGTATGAAGTACGATAATGAACGAGGGGAAAATATATATATATCCAAGAAAAATTACGAAAAAAAAATCACAATGTTTAAAAAAAATAAGGCAATGATATATAAAAATCCCCAAAAAGAAAAGACTCACAGTTGCAGTTAGGTGTACCAGATCACGTCGGGCTCACCAATGATGATGTCACAGGTATTCAGTATTTGACAACGCTTTTACCAGTAACACCTAATATATTTCGTTCCCGCCCAGAGAAATCAAAAGACAGAGTCGAGGAGATCGGAAGAGTATATTTGGCGATGACCAATATATCGGAATTCTCTGATCTAATCTGGCTAGCGATTGCGGTTGATGTTGAGCACGGCGTTACCACACGTGATCTGGTGCGGATGCAAGACCGAGCGCCTTCAGCTAGATGAGTCCACTAAAACATATGGTCAGCATCCAATGTCGAAAACTTAGGGCTATTTATTTTGGGGATTTATTTACCGCTACACCCCTTTAATCCCTTTGTACTACACCGATTGAAAGTTTGGAACTTCCGAGAGAGATGAATGGTGTTTGTTTTTCACTTCGAGTATCTTGACACTTGCCTTTCTTTGAACGCGTTCCAATAGAGCAATATTGTTGTCAGGATAAATGAACAGTGCATGGGTGTTTGTCGGATGAAATCTCAGGTAAACACTGAGGAACGTTTTAAATAATTCCAGAGCTAGGTTGTCAGATTTTAAGAGGCCTGAAGACGAAGGCTATTGGGGAAAGTTGCACAGATCCTCACACGAAACGATGCCTAGGCTCTTTTATGGGAATGAAAATGTGACCCTACAATTTTACCGAAATTAAAAGGCGAGTAGAGCATTACTGCCATTCACCATTAGCATTCTGGGCGTGGCGGTATTGAGAAGAAAGATACTTCTGATAGTTCCACTGTGTATTCTGTGTGAAATTCCTTGGAAAATCGAAATGTCATTTGGGAAAAGCGTTCCCCTCCAGATATAAGACAATCTGCTTGTAACAGAGTTAGGAAGTCTGAAGTACTAGACAAATCGTTGGTAAACGATAATAAGAGAAGTGGCCCAAGGCTGAGCCTCGTTTCATCTTGTTTGAGATCCATTCAGATGAAGGAGAACGAACCCTAACGGCTCGTAATAGTAAATATCTATGGTTCATCGAACCTCACTAATGCCGACGGGCCCAAGTTTCAGATTGAACGTCCAATACTCAATACCATTAGGTGCCTTTGAGAAGTCTGGATAGCTCAGTTGAGCAGAACAGTTGTAATTCAGTGACAGCATACAGCTATTTCAGACAGTCATTAACGAAATACGACGTCTTTCTGGGAGAAAACTGTTTTGTGAGTGATAAACAAACGGTTTTTTGCAGTTCGTTTGAAGGAATTCTTCTAAAATTCTTTCCATGATATCTGCAACCGCAGAGAGCAAGGACTTTCAGCTTACTTCTCCATTTATTTGCGAACTTGACTATACCCACTTTCCAGTCAGGGCGTAGTTTGCTGTTGACTAAAGGAAACTTGAAGAGATCAGTAGGAAGGCAGAATAGTAGATCTGGAAATACTTTCAGGACTATTGGTTTAATTTTGTCCAGTCTTGCAAGTTTATGTAGGTTTAAGCACCTTGAAATCTCTTTAATTTTGAAAGATTCTAACTCCACGATGCTTAGTTCAGAAAAGAAGATGGAGAAAAAGGTTGAAAAGTTTATTAGCCTCTTTATTGGGGCTGTGTGTTGAAGCAATGGTAGGTGGATTTATAAGCGTAACATCAGTTCCTAGCATAGCTGGTGGTGTTACAAAAAACAGAAACGCAACTGCATCTATCTAAGATACCATATTATCTGTCGATTTCGTCGATGCGACGAGGACCAGGACAAAAGATAGAGCTGCTTTATCGAGAATATTTTGGGAAATTTTGTTATCGAATGTGATATGGATCAACAGTGACGTGTGAGAAGACTTTTGAAATGAAAAGTTCACACAAATTCTTAATTCCGGTTTATATTCATCAAGAAATCATCTCTGATAGGATGGTCATTCTACGATTTTGTGCAATAATTTGCTATAGTGTAGGTTTAAATTAGGAATTCGGTTTAAAAAATTAAGTAAATATGTGGGGATTGACTCTTCTGCTTATTCCTGACGATTTTCACGAGTATTGCAATAACGCGAAATTCACGGAAATATCTTAGGAAGTCAAATTGAAACAAATACCTAGGGGTGATTTATAAATTATGAATATTGGATCACATTAGCAAACATTGTCGGATGCACAGACCTAACTTTTGAACATTGTCACTCCCGAAATATTCTGTCGATTTCCGAAAACGAATTCAATGTCTCTATAAAGACAAGATACTTGCACTCAAGTGATATCAAGCTGTCGCAGATAGTATTATATTATGCCCATTAGGATTCAAACTGGAAAAGCCTTTAATAAAATTGTTTCAAGAAGTCTTATTTAATCTTAATCCTGTGGTCGTTTTATCTAAAGAAGATAAGAAAAATGTTTCATAGTGACGATATTTCTTACAATAACCCGTCATTTTACTAGTGTTACTACACATTTTAACTCGTAGCGTTATAATTTATCTTTGCATAGTTAGGTGTCAAAAGACAAACACGAATAGTCCTCTGTCTCTAGGTACTAAGGCTGGGGTAGTAAAAGTTTGTTTATTCCTCTCTAACCAGTCCTTGTTGATGTTGTTTAAACATTCCAGTTGGGGCCTTTTCCTCGTAAGGCGGGTTCTTGATCTGGCTCCAACGTGTACTTTAATTTAAGGATTATTTCCCATATTGAAGAATGCCAATGAAGCTTGATATTAAAAGAAAGCTTCTATCAAGATCTGATCGAGTTAAGTCCGTGGATTTACATTCAACGGAACCATGGATTTGTGCTGCACTGTATAATGGAAATGTGCATATATGGAATATTGAGGCTCAGCAGTTGATAAAAACTATCGAAGTTTGTACAAACCCTGTTCGCGCTGCGAAATTTGTTGCTCGCAAAAACTGGATAGTTACAGGCTCTGATGACATGCAAGTGGGTTTCAAATAAGTCTTTAATCATAATATCGTGGTCAATAATAGCAAAATCGTTATTATTTTCTGACTGACAAGTTAGTGGGGTTAATGTATGCAAACGAAAGCAATACAATAGCTTGGTTCACCTTTTTTCGGTTTTATGCTTTGAGTGTGCTGGTTCCTCATTCAGCTTAAGGCTTATTGTTTACTTTTTCTATACAAAATGATCCGTTCCTTTCCCTCATTCAGCAACCATTCTTGCCGCATAGGATAGCAAAATTATTTACGCCACAAAATTTCCAAATTCGCAATTCAGTCAACAGGAAACGGGCCGCCTGTTTCACTTGTATTCTTATTATCCTGATAATAGTTTCATCTAATTGATTCAATTAATTACCATACATAACTATATTTCTAACTTCTGAATGCATTTTTTTTACTTGTCATATTTTTAAGCGATGTGAATCGACATAGTAGTGTCTAGTTCTATAGTGGATCATAAATGTTAACGATGGATTTCACCAGATTCTTTTCTCTCGTTTAGTTCGTATGTTCAGGTTTTTGCTGAAAGTTCATCCTTTGAATATTATCTGCAGATAATCGCCATTTGTAGTCGGAAGTTTTAGTATTAGATTTTATTATGGTACAGATGTGTATTCATTTTCTCCTGAGTTTTGGTGTTTCAAATATTTTATCATACTTCTTGCCCATTGATTTCATGTGTTCTCTCCGGGCAGGTTGTCTTATCAACATGAACACTACTGTGATGACGGACTTTTTGTTTTCTCTTTGCTGTGCTGAATTTGATGACTTGAACTAGTGTACGTTTGTTCCAAATCATGCTTTGTCAATGACTGACTAATTGATAACATAAATCTTAAATGCTTTTGAATGCTTTTTGTCATTGCAAACTTCGCGCTTTGTCAGGTTTTTCATTTTAGCTGTGTCACTTATACTATTTTCTTCATACTTCTAACTACAGTTGCGAGTTTTCAATTACAATACTCTTGAAAGAATTCAACAAATAGAAGCACATTCTGATTATATACGATCTATTGCTGTGCATCCTACTCAACCATTTATCCTTACATGTTCAGATGATATGCTTATACGTTTATGGGATTGGGAAAATAACTGGACATGCGCTCAGGTATGTTTTAAATTTATCTAGCAAACATTGTGTCTTGTTAATTGATTTGTTAAACAATTTAATACAGCGTGAGGTGGGTAATTGGAGATGTAATTCAGTAGACTAAACTGTTTTTCACAGATTTAAACCTACTTCACTTACGTGGGTATGAGTAGCAAGATGATATTTTTATTGTCCACCACTCCACAACTGTATTTTTTACGATTCTAATACGTGTATGATGGTTTAGGAAGTGTAGAGTAAGTAAACACAATTAGGACGATGGAAAAGATCGATTTGATAACACGATGTAAACTTCTATTCGCTACGCAATCACTGATATCAACGCAAGACAACATAGTTCGTAAATGCGACGCAACTACTCTTAATTACTGTGGCCCTGATCCTCCCTAAGTAAGCACTCAACTATTAGGACTAAAGGAAAACAAGCCTGGCCTGTGACCACAAAAGATGTTTTATGGAAGAAATACCACTCTCTACATAGATTTTCTTTTCAGAGAGTATTGAAACATCTAAATAATCACAACTCGAGAACGGATTTCATGCTAAACGAATACATAACACAGACTATCACAAAACAAAAGGATAACATACAAAAATAATTAATAAATTGAATTGTTTAAGTATTGTCGAACGATTACTAAATTGAGTTAGTCAGTAGTCTTACTCTTGATCAATTCTTGTCGATAAATTACATTTATTGTTTGGGATTCAAAATAGCATACTACCGTTCAGTATGAAGTTTATGGAACAAGAATTGAATTTGTAACTTAATGATTGACAACTAAGTCTCTATACTCCTAATTTTCAGAAACGCCCGTGATGGAAATCCATGCAGTAAAGTGAAATGTGTTATTTTGAAAGCCGACCTTTTACGATTCCTCCATCCATTATAAGAAGATTGCATAGCTGTAAATAGTGATTATCTGAGGGAAATGTTTTACTGCCGTCGCACCCTAGTGTATTTCATAGTACGACTTTTCTGTCGAATCGTGAACTGATTGCTTTTAGTTTTGGCGTTCCCCAGCTGACGTTTATGCCCCTGTAAGACGTAAACGAACGAGCGTTCCAATCATTGTGGATTGATTGGATCATCACGATATGAAAGCCTAACCGCCACCACAAGGTAACAGCTACTGTTGGATAGCAATGTGTGAACTTATTCTTGTCATTCAGTAGATTACATAGCTTGAGACCAACGACAGTAGGCGGTTGTATTGTGGTGTGTGCTACTGGTATCGACAGATAAGTAGTATGTATCGTCAATAGAAAGTGAAATGTCCGGAGGCAGAAGGTTAAGAAGATCGACTAAAAGAGAACGAGAACAAAGAATAATTGGTGTAGTAACGAAAGAATAGTGAAGTCTGAGATGATTGATTGACATTTGCTAAAGGAACAGTCAAGTTTGAGATAATTGATTGGCATTGTGCATATGAAGTACTTACTGTATGGTTCCTAGATTTTACTAAGATGTCCTGTAATTTGTATTCTAATACATTCGATTGTCCTCATTTGTGTTCTCGTTCACTACAGTATTCGCTCGCTATATATATATATATATATATATATATATATATATATATATATATATATATATATATATATATATATATAAATTGTAACTGTAATGTTACACCATAGCTTCCATTCCTTAGTCCTTACTGATGTAAAGCAGAATATCGTGTGGTGTTCAGTTGAAAAAAGGCTTTCTACCTTAAGATTTAATAATGTCCCTACATTTATAAGTCTGTTCGAACTATCCAGTAAATTTCCTGAAAACTAGTGGAGTGAATCATACTAGCTCATTACGTTTGTCAACTAAAGTTTGATAAATAATTGCACTTGTATTTCTTGTGTATTTCTCAGAAATGCATGAATTTGTGAGCTATTAGCTTGCTACCTGTTTGACGTGACTTCTATACATAGAGGGGTCTAGCATATGTTTAGCAATATGATTTGAAGGGATCGAGATTCATATTTCCTAGGCTCATTTGATTGGTAACAGGTATGGAGTGAAAAGATGTAGAAATTGTTGTAGTAATGTTGGTAATAGCAGGCGATACTGAAGGCAACTAAATCAACAAAGAATAAGTATAACGCTTGACAAACAGGATATGTATCTTTTCTGTTTCACTCGTACGATTTTAATACCACTATTGGGGCTGTTAACGTATTCTTGTAGTACCTAGAAAGGAAAATACATTTCCGTTGCATTACCACATAACCCAAGGTACATCTGTCTTATTTAACGAAATGTTAGAACATTCGTTTATTTCTTTTACAACTAGTACAGTAAATGAAGCGGTTGAATTTTGTTAACAAGAATTATCTTATACAAGTCAAATTTTGAAGTAATCATATTTATGTTTCACATCGATATGTGTTTATTATTTTGTTATTCCAGGTGTTTGAGGGTCACAATCATTATGTTATGCATATAGCATTCAATCCAAAGGATAATAACACGTTTGCTAGTGCTTCTTTGGATCATACAGTCAAAGTGTGGAGCCTAGGCTCAGGTACTCCAAACTTCACTTTAGAAGGTCATGAGAGAGGAGTCAATTGTGTAGATTATTCCACATCCGGTGATAAACCTTATTTGGCTAGTGGATCAGATGATAGAACTGTGAAAATATGGGATTATCAAACGAAAGCATGTGTTCAAACTCTCGAAGGTCATGCTCAAAATATCAGGTAGTCAATTATAGATTTCCCATGCCTAACTTCATTTCTAAAAATAACTATATTTATGCTTGGTAAAGAAATATCTAAGATGCTTATAAAGTTCGGGCGTCTCAAGTGTATATTAACTTATCTTTTGAGGATTTCTCAGTCGAATTATTTAGCAGCAGTTGTCTAATATGACACTAAATAGAACCTGTTCACCTTGTGTTTTGCATCGCCTAGCATACCAGTTCACCAACTCTGTCACAATAAGTTTCAGTATGTTATCAAGAATAATAAATTTCTAGCTACTCGTCCATATTTCTGATAAATGGTTTACAGCAAAATCGATCTGCAAACTGTATTTATATATAGAGATGTTTACTATTAAATTCAACACTCAGTGTACCCTTCCTTTAGAAATTAATATATCCTATTTGACACGGTTCCTACTCCGTTATTCTTTTGAATAATCTTTTTACTAAATTGTATTACTTGGAGTGCAGTTACGTGTTTGTTGGTGACTAGTTCCCTTTCTTCTGTATCTGTCTTTTTAGCTCTGTTTTATTCCATCCTGAATTGCCAATAATTCTTACCGGGTCTGAAGATGGCACTGTACGATTTTGGCACGCTAACACTTATCGTTTAGAGTCAACATTAAATTATGGCTTAGAACGTGTCTGGACTATGACTTGTCAACGTGGTAAACAAATAGTTGGTATTGGTTATGATGAAGGCACTGTTGCTATATCTTTGGGTCGAGATGAACCTGCCATGTCTATGGATGCATCTGGAAAATTGGTTTGTGCTAGACATTCAGAGCTAGTTCAAGCTAATTTACGATCATTGAACTTCAGTGGGGATGGAAGTGAAATGATTCAGGTAGATAAATAGGTTTTTATGGGAGAAATTGTTCTCTTAATATTAAGGAATTGAAAAACTGCCTTTGTAATTGTATATGTAGATATTAGTCTGTATACATTGGGGACGTTATAAACTTGGAATTGTTGTGTACAAACAAGCTACACCACTTATAGGTCGTAACATCATCTTTAACTATTTCAAATAATGATTCATATAGTTGTGCAAACAAATGACAGTTAACCTAATTTTATTACAGTGAGATATGTATTTCTTGTTATAACCGAACGCGTATTGAATACATTGAACACTTTTGGAATTATTTTGATGGACTATTATTATTTATACTATATGATTATTAAATAATTGGATTGTTGTATTTCTGATACATGCTTGAGATAAAGATATCGAGTGCCTAATATATTGATAGTAGAAGCTTGCCTGGTGTGTCCTCTTGTCCAAACTCAAGATGAGTCAGAACAAAGTACACACGTCGGGGTATCAATGAGAGCTAAGATTATCTTGGCCTCGTCTTGAGGTTTATTTATTTAAACGTATAAACATAGATACAAACAGGCACCAAATAGATATGCGCCACATAAATCATTCAATTTGTGTGAGGACTAGGATACTGCCCGGCTGCCCAAACCGAAACAGGTGGTTTCTTTTAGGGAGCTACACCCCTCTCGAGGTTAATTTTGTCAGTTGAGTTGTATCATTCATCCAAGCTTAGGATACTAGTTTATGAATGAAATAGTACACTCAGAGTAGAGGAATTGTAACTAGGACTCTGATTAATGAATCTTCTTTTACTATCAATGAACATCTCATGCACAGCATTTATGATGGAAATTCTTAATATATTTTGAATTATTATTATATTACTTCTCATTGAATTTATTTTCAATTCCAGGATGGTGAACGTCTTCCAGTTACTTTCAAAGATATGGGTACATGTGAAATATATCCACAAATTATTGAACATAATGCTAACGGACGTTATGTGGTTGTTTACGGTGATGGCGAGTACATAGTTTACACTGCTATGGCATTAAGAAATAAAACATTTGGTCAAGGATTAGAATTTGTATGGTGTCAATCCGATGCTGGAGTTTATGCTGTTCGTGAGAGTAATGCTGTTGTTAAGGTATATAATAATTGTTTTATTGTTAAATATATCAATAATTTGTTTTTAAAATGTAGTCCTTCATTTTAATGTAAACCTTTTTCTCAATCTGAAAAAGTCAGTCAATTACAACGTAGGACCAGGCACATATATGCATCGATCCAAGTTGCCACACTTCATTAGCACAACAAAATGAACAAATTCATAGAAGTAGTCACTTCAGTGGTAGGAATGTATGGTAAAAGATTGCATATTAAGATATAATACAGGAAGAAAGAATTAGTTCATAGAAAGAAAGATATAAAATAATTTTGGTCTCATAGTTTAAGGGAAGACAGAGAGTGTATACACCTACACCATTGTGGCCGATTCTGAGCCATGTCACACAGTCTCCAATCATTGGTTACGATAGTCACACGGAGCCCAACGAAGTAGTTTGCATCTACCTACGTGGCTCAGGCTAGAAGTTAGTGACTTCAAGTACTGATGCCACGTTTTGGTTTGGCCGCCCCTAACTTCCAACCATCACCAACACTAGTCAGCATTGCACGTCGTGGTAATCGGTGTTCAGGCATACGCAACACGTGGCCCAACCATCTCAGTCGATAAAGATTCACAATGCCATTAACTGATTTACCATCGTTCCCTAATACCCTGCGTCCAACCTGACAATTACTTGTCCGGTGATCCCAGCAGATGCGAGCAACATTTCTAAGACATCTGTGGTCAAATACTAGTATCTTACGAGTATCTTCTACTCTTAATGGCCACGTTTCGCAGCCGTAAAGTAGGGCAGCGAACTGCCGCTCAGTTTACTCGTCCCTTAATTGATAGACGGATATCTCGCCTTCGCCATAGGTGACGTAAGTTGGCAAAAGCCAAACGAGCTTTTCGAATCCGTGCTGAGATTTCGTCAGACACCAACCTATTTGGGCTGATCAGACTTCCAAGATAAGTGAAGTTGTCGACGCGTTCGACTACTTCACTCCCTATCCTTAGTTCAGGTGTTGACGCAGGCCAGTCCTGAAGCAACAACTTGGATTTAGAGGGAGAGAAGCGCATTCCAAACATTCTGGCATTGTTGCTTAGTGCTACCAGAAGACTCTGCTTTTTGTCAGCGTCTTCACCAAACAGGACTATGTCATCTGCGTATTCTAAGTTGATAAGTGGACCTCCTGGAAGGAGATCAATACCCGAGAATTCAGTAGACGAGAATGTTATTTCCATCAATAAGTCTATGATGAAGTTAAACAGAAATGGAGAAAGTGGACAGCCTTGACGGACACTACTTGAGGTTGCAAAAGCAGATGACAGTTCGCCATAAGCTCTGACTTGACTAGTAGTGTTCGAGTAAAGAGCCTTCACAAGGTTTATGTACTTCTGAAGTACACCTTTTAATGACAGACACTGCCCCAGAACCTCTCGGTCTACAGAGTCAAATACTGCTTTCAAGTCAAGGAAAACCACCATCGTCGGACGCCGATAAGTATGCCTATGTTCTAGAACCTGACGAATGGTGAATATGTGGTCGATGCAGCCACGACCAGGTCTGAAGCCAGCCTGATTTTCACGTGTCTGCAGTTAACGAGTCTTAGTTAGGCGCCCGATAATTATTGAGGCTAGTATTTTAGATGCTATATTAGTTGAAATAATCCCTCTATGGTTGTCACAGGATGATTTTGATCCCTTCTTACATATTGGGACAATGAGTGATTGCGACCAGCCAGAGTATAAGCAGTAATCGGAAAGATTAGGGTTTGAAGATGTTATTCAAGTAGTATTATCCAGTGAAATAAATTTGGAAAGAGTAAAAAGGGACATGAAGAATTCAGAAGATTAAGATTTGGGAGAACACAAAGAATAAATGCACCTGCGCCACTGCAAACGATTTCGAGCCATGTCATTCAGGGTCTCTAACCATCGGTTGCTATCATCTCGCGGTCCCCAACCAGGTAGTCTACACCTACCAACATGTCTCAGTCCACTTGTCAGTGACTTCATGTACTTGTGCCATGTTTTGGCCGGGCCGTCCCTAGCTTTCTTACAACCTACTCCTACACCATAAAGCATCGCATGTCGGGGCAGTCGGTGGTTGAGCATACGTAACACGTGTCTCAGCCATTTCAACTGATTAAGTTTCACTACTTCATCAGTTGATTTACCATCCTTACCTAGTACCCGTTTCCTAGCAACTAACTGCGTTACTCACACTTTTTCTTAATAGTATGATGTAGTACAAAAGTATTAAATATTTCTCCTACCAGAAAGTCTTAGGAGTGGCTCGTATGAAATATATACAACCAGTCTAACGGAGAAAAAATCTATGTAAGTTAAGAAGTGCTAAAAACATAGTAAATAAACGAGGAAAGGGGAAAAGGGTAAAACTCGCCTGGGTTATTTTCGCTTCCAAGTAATGAAAATTTGAATTAGACTATAGTTCGAATCTGAATTATGTACGAGGTACTAGTGATCAAATTCTTGGATTAACACAGCCTTGTAGACTGGATTTGTATAAGTCCAAAATTAATTGAAGCCGAATACGTAGCATTGCCTGGCGAACAGTCTACACGAGATCTAAGATTTCAGGGAATTTATGATTACTATGTGCTCACTAGTGACTAGCTTCCTGACGGAATTGTCGAAGTTCTAGTGAGAAACCGTGACTAGTGGAGCTAATCTTTTGCAAGGAGAGACAAGTATCTACCTCAGTACAATGGAAGATGGTTGAGGTTATACATTAACAGCATTGGATGCCGACCGGCTCAGTCGTCCAGAGGTTAAGCGTTCGCGCGTGAGATTGAAGGCTCTGGGTTGAAATTTCACGAGCGGAATCGTGGATGCGCACTGCTGAGGAGTCTCACAATAGGATAAAACGGCCGTCCAATGCTTTGAGGTTTTCAATGATGGTGTAACATCACTCGGTTCATGATCCCAATCAATAACTTAATTATTTTCACAACCCTATACTGATTAAAGAAATATTGTATTATATTATTATGAATCATATTTCTGAATTCAATATCATCATCATCTTCTTGACTGAAGTGTGTAATATTATCTTTTCTACTAAGGTTTACAAACAAATGAAAGAGGTTCGTACATTTAAATTAGATTATGGTGCGGAACAAATATTTGGTGGACATTTATTAGGTGTACGTTCATTAACTGGTTTAACATTTTATGATTGGTTAACCGGTCGAATTATTCGACGGATTGATAATAATCCAAAAGGTGTTTATTGGAATGAATCTGGTCAATTAGTAGCATTATGTACAAATGATACATTTTACATATTACGTTATTCAGCTGATGCTGTACCAGATTCTAATTTGCCAACAATCAATAATAATAACCATGAAGATATAGATGGATATGAAAAAGCTTTTCAAGTAAGTGAAATCTATTTGATTTGTGAATATAAAGATTGTAAAATTACGTTTATGCTTTGACCCTCCCCCATTGTTAAACTCTATTAGGATCAAATCGGTAATGACGTAGACAAACGAAGAGATAACATGTGTAGACAAGGCAAATTTGCCTATTCAAGATATTTCTCATTACAAGCGCTAATATAATGCAAAATAGATAAAGCATAGTACGACAAGGGGCCAGAAATTGGAAACAGGTGTAAGCTGGTGGTTGAATATAGTCCACAGGGGACTCTACTCGACATAGATTTCGTGTTATTTGGCACTAGTCAGCAAGGCATATGTGTAATCTTAGGGGAACTGATACTCTGTGGTGGATTCAGTCACTCAACTTCACAATCAGAGACGTTACGATGGAGCTATCCGAGCCCTGACTGAACTGTTGTAGGACTGAGATGTATTTACAATCGATGGATCACTCGGTAGTGACCAATATCATGTATATCAGGTCCTTCTTAGCACACGTCGAATTCTGTCGACCAAGTTGTAATGTAGTCACTAGTCTATGTGACTCGACATCGTGTGCTCTATGTTAAGATGTAAGATGGTGTTTGAATACAGACATACGCACCCGAGCACACACGAGACATATTGTTGTTGAATTATAAGGACATAAATATAGGGCATATACATTCTGAAGGTCACAATTCTCTATGAAGTGAGTAAGATTATTAAGAAGGTGAAAATGACTTGGCAGTCACAGCTGTCTGAGTTATTAAAGTCTGTCCAAAGGTTCGGATAATTCGCGTTGGTGTGTAATAACAGAGAAACTACTACAATTCCACCTGTTGGATTCAATCAAGCTATGCTCACTTGCTTATCAAAGATCAGTTATCCTGTTCAATAGTTTGCTCTGTATTAATTTACAACTGTGAAATATGGTCTTTTGAGGTTGAATATACGCACTTAGCTTGCTCATGCTTAACTACAGATGTCTTCAACGTGTTGCCAGAAAAAGTATGGTAGAATAAATCACCAAGTGAATCACTCCTAGATTAAGCGTAAGTCGATTGATAAAATTATGAGCCTACACTAGTCGGAGTGTTGACCAATTTGTTATCTATGTATCCAATGACCATCCACCCTGACGTGCTATACTAGCTAGGATAAGAATAGAAGTGTGCGGCTCCATTCATCGTTTGTTGTAAAGAGTCGAGAATTTCACTTATTTGATTAGCTATGTGAGTGCTATTGATGTGATATATCAATCTGAATTAATCTGTATGTAGTAAAAGTCAACGTGGTTCATGTTGACCTAGACTCTCTTTGGCACTATCAAAACGTCAATCTGTTTCAGTTTTATTCTAAGCTGATAGCTTCTTTCTTTATAACTTTATGACGTCATTGTTGTCTCTGAATAATCTCTCTAATTTGTTTTCGACATGATGTAAGCAGTAATAAGGTACAACAACAACAACAACAACAACCTGTGCTTTGGCAATTGCTCATGTGGTGATAAATATATAATCATTCTTATCTTAAAGTACCGATTTCATTGAATTGAACACATTATACACGTGTCATCACAACGACTTCTATCCCATACATCATTTAATGATGTTAGCACTCAATGGAAAACCCAGATGCGAAGGATCAAGGATGATTTTTCTGCATGACTATTCATTACTATTGTGTGAAATACTATAAATAACTAAACTTAACGGTTTGAAAAAGTGTTAACCATAGTGTTAAGTAGAAGCCGATGATAACCCTATTGTCTTCTGCTTCTAAATACTACACTACTCATTAGTAGTAAGATGTACATTTTTAATAAAATAAACCTTGCTTAGTTACATTCTTACTAAGATTGTATTATTTAATACTTTCTTTTATTGAAAAGAAGTGTTTCTTCACTGGATTTGTGTTTTTCAAGATGTTTGAATATAAATTTCATATATGTATAGTTCACCCCGTTGCACAAGCCTATGGCTATGTAGACTCAGTAGTTGAGTGGATAACGCGATAGTGTTCGAAGACAAAGGTAATGAGTTCAACTCCTGGAGTAAGCATCAACTCTGTGATGCAAGTACATGCGACTGATGAGCTCAAAATAGAAGTAAACGCACATTCTGGATTCCGCTGCAAATCACCATTCATCTCTGCTTATAATAGTATGGTTTGAATTTGGTGAAAATATGAAAATGAGCAAATTAAGACCGTAAACGTTATATGTCTCCAAGTTGGCGTTTATCCTGCTTATCATTTTTATTCATCTATAGTGGTTTTTATAAAAAGCGATTAAATTAAGAGTTGTCTACGAAATTGAGAGGACGAAAAGCGAATGTCCGGCGCTTTAACCGGGTTGGTGGATATGGAGGATTCACCTAGGGGAGTTGGAATACCCTGATTACAAACCAATGGTGTACATGAGCTTCAGTACCCCGAAGGGACAAATGGCATATGAACCTATTGTTGGTCACCGACTACCATGGGACTGCATCTCCTTACGATGCTCCACTGCCTTGTGGATCAGACCTTTAGGTCGAAGGCTCCGGGTTGGCTTCCTAAGAAAACCACCTGCTTCGGTTTGGGCACCCGGGTAGTATCACAGCCCTCACACATATCAAATGAGATCTGTATGGCCCATATATATTTGGTGCCTCCTTGTACCAATATCTGTGTTAAAATACATAAATAAATAAATAACAACGCATCAGACTGTTGGTCACTAGAATCAGGAACGAACAAGTAACCTCAAGACCACAGCACGTATATAAGAAAAGAGTAGTGTTTATCAAACATAGCTGGTTAGTTTTAATAATGAAAGCATCATTAGGCAATTACAACTGATGTTCAGGGGTTAGGATTTAGGACTGGGACTAAAATTAGACTAACCAGAAAATCTAATCTCGTTCTTAAATCAAAATCCTGAATCTTCATCCTAATTCTAACTGTAATCATGTGCTTTACGTCCTAATCTGAACTTTAACTCTGAACCTCAAAAACATTGCCCTCTAATCTTAAATTCTAACCATAGACACCAAATCTTAACCATAAATTTGAGACCTTAATCCTAAATCCTAACCACATGATCTATATCCAAAAAATTGTCAACATTAGCATAAGAGTCACTCAAACTTGTCTATAGTTCCATCAATATTTCTAGTGTTACAGATTTTGAATTCATGCTGGCTACAAGTGCTCTGAATTGAACGGTTAACGTAACCTTCAAATCAATCACTACGGTAGTGGACGAGAACACAAATGGGGACAATCGAATGTATTTGAATACAAAATTATAGAACATCTTAGTAAAATCTAAGAACCATACAGTAAATACTTCATTCTGCAAAATGTTTATCGTCTCTGACTTGATTGTTCCTTCATTTCCACACCAATGATTCTTTTTCCTTATTCTCTTTTCTTTGATCTTCTTAACCTTCTACCTCCTGACATTTCACTTTCGATCGATGACACATACTACTTATATCTGTCAACATCAGTAGCACACACTATACTACTTATTTTTTGATTTTATTTCAGATTAGTTAAATGTGTATATAAAATATTATACGAAATAATCATAGTTTAATGTTCATTCATGTCTTGTCAGTACATATTTATTCAGTTCTATCAGATGACATTGAATGCTTTAATGTTTTTTTTTCGGTCTTCTAATCATCTGATATAACGCGTATTACATTGAATTTGTTTTTATTTTATTTCAACACATAAATTTTGGTACAAGAGCGCACCAAATATATATGCGTCACACCATATTTGTGTGTGTGGGCTGTGATACTGCCCGGGTGCTCAGACCGAAGCAGGTGATTTCCTTAGGGGCCACTCCCCGAGCCTTCGACCTGAAGGTCTGATCCACAAGCCAGTGGAGCATCGTGAGGAGATGCAGTCCCATGGTAGTCGGTGACCAACAATTGGTTCATACGCCATTGGTTCCCGCAGGATACTGGAGCCCATGTGCACCATTGGTTTGGAATCCGGTTAAAGCGCCGGACATTCGCTTTTCGTCCTCTCATTTTTGTAAACAACACCCCCGCCACGAGAAGGCAATAAGTAGGACTTCCCTGGCAGAGGCTGTATACACGTGGCCGTGTGAGAGCATTTCGAGAGGGAGGGCGGGCCAACCACACTCTCGGCTAAATAAACCCGCAATTACATTGAGTTTGTTTCTGTTGTATTTCTACCTTATTATTATTATTATTATTATTTTCTCTGATAGCTTGTACCGAATGGTGAAGTCAATAGTCAAGTACTTAATGGTCGTTGGTTTGGTGATGCATTTATATTTACAACACAAGGGAATCGTTTATGTTATTTTGTTGGTGGTGAAGTATTCACATTAGCTTTATTGGATCGTCCAATGTATTTATTAGGTTATTTAGCAAAAGAAAATCGTTTAATTCTAGGTGATAGAGATTTACAGGTATGTTTTTTTGCTTTGCTATGTGCTTACCCCAGTTTCAGAATGTAAGCTAACATTTGAAATAAAATAACTTTGTAAATAATTTCTGAATCGATATAGCTCATTGTGAATAAGATTCCTGTTACTTCAATAGTTTTGACGGTGTTTTTGATTCTTGGATCTAGTTATTTTATCCATGAAGCTTTCTGATCATGTTCCCTAGGCAACATTACCACAAGTATACATTTCAAGATGAAGTTAGATGTTAGAAGTAAGAAAGCTTGGATGCAGCTAGATGATTTGGATTTCACAGATAACCTACCCACTTCTATCCCATATGTAGTAACAAATCTAGGTGAAGATAGTCAGTGTGGTATCAGCTTTTGTACAACTGATCTCAACATACACAAGGGAAAAGACAAAATCCTTAAGTAAAATACGAACACCAACCCAATCATGTTTAATGGAAAAGCTCTGGAGAATGTGGAAATTCATATTCCCAAAAATGATGCATTTACCAAGTGATTTCTAGGAATTTAGCATCCAGAACAGAGACATTGAGTAATAGCTAACTATGAAGTGAATTTACATTTATCATCTTTAAGAAAATATAAACTAATTGTTCATTTACCTCTCTTTCTCCTCGCTTTATATCCTCTCTGGCGATCAATCATAGATTGTTAGTTATACTCTATTACTCAGTGTATTAGAATATGAAACAGCGGTATTACGTGGAGATTTTACAACTGCTGATGCTATTCTACCAAATATATCAAAAGATCAATATACAAAAATTGCTCAATTCTTAGAGAAACAAGGTTATCGAAAACAAGCTATGCGTGTCACTACAGATATGGATCATAAATTTGAATTAGCTTTACAATTAGGAGATTTTGAATTATGCCAACAAATTGCCATGGATGGTGATGCTAAAACAAATGAAGCTAAATGGAAACAAGTAAGTTAGTTAGTTTATTAAGTAGTGTGTCATTTATATACACCTAAACGATGTATATCATTATGTCTTACTGAAGTTGACTTTCAACGGAATTATTTATTCAACCGATGTAATAGAATTTTCCACATTGATAGTTTGTGAGACTATTTTTGGTAAACAGGAGTTGTAGAAACTGTTGAATGTTTTATTTCAGATTATGAGTTGAGTTTAGTCAGATAACCATTGGAAACCAAGGAGTAGTGAACAACTATTTCGCATGAATATATGAGACTCTTCAATAGTAGCGCTCACTCATCAACTGACTAGGAATTTCTGTAATACCTATGAAAATGCTGGTTCTAAATTTTGACTTGAAACTGTACTCTAAACAAAATACAACGGTTACATTCCTGTGGGAGAGTGGTCTTTGTCAGAATAACAAGTCTAATTCCCTACTTTGACTACCAACAATTTTTGCTTATTCACTTCTCCGGAAACTTATTTATCACATGAAGTAAACTAATAAGATTTAGTTTCTTGTGAAGTGGAATGATTTCTTGCCTAAATTTAAAACAATCAACTCATTGATAACTATTTGTGTAGTGTTTATTTCAGAAAGTAGTGATACTATAATCTATGAACGACCTTTGAACGATGCTAAAGTGACTCGCCCACTTGCTGTTTATTTATTTAAACACAAACATTGTAATAAACAGGCACCAATTATGTATGTACCATACTCCTTCATTCGATTTGTATGAGGGCTGTGATACTACCCGGGTGCCCAGACCGAAGTAGGTGATTTTCTTAGGGGGCCACTCCCCGAGCCTTCGACCTGAAGGTCTGATCCACAAGGCAGTGTAGCATCGTAAGGAAATGCAGTCCCATGGAAGCCGGTGACCAACGAATGGTCCATACGCCTGCTTCGGTTTGGGCACCCGGGCAGTATCACAGCCTTCACACATATCGAATGAGATTTGTGTGGCGCATACGTATTTCGTGCCTCCTTGTACCAATATCTATGAGTTAAAATAAATAAATAAATAAATCATACGCCACTTGTTCCTTCAGGATCCTGTATCCCATGTGCATCATTGGTTTGGAATCCGGTTAAAGCTCCGGACATTCGCTTTTCATTCTCCCATTTTCGTAAACAACACCTCCGCCAGGAGAAGGCAGTGAGTAGGACTTCCCTGGCAGAGGCTATATACGCATGGTCATGTGGGAGCATTTGGAGAGGGAGAGCGGACTCTCCCCACTCTCGGCCGTACCAGGGCATTTGGGAGCCTCAGGAAAATTAACGCAAAGTACTGTGTCCGAAATGTTACTATCAACACCGGGATACAGGTACATCCAACTACCGAGTATGCGTGTCCTGGATTTCACTTCCAGTTACAATCCATCTTGTTTATAAAAGTCTTATGATAAAATGGTTGTATTGGGGCACTAAAACTGATCAAAATCTAATTATGAATATAAACAAAATTGTTATTCAAACCTCCGCAAATAATATTTTCAAATGATATGGAACGATGCACCATAAACACTCATGATAAAACTCGATGAGAGAACTAAAAGTTCCATCAAATTTCTGCTGCCATCAAACTAACAAAGAAGCCTATCACTATGCGAACCTAGAATGATTTTATTGAAATCTTCACATTATTATGGTTGATTGTTTGTAGTTAAACGTTAATCTCAACGTTTCAATACTATTTTTAGCAAGGAAAGTATTCAAGCCATTCATTATACATAGAATAAATAGATTGTGACCTTATTCGAGACCCATCACCTGGATGTACTTGGATCCCAACATTAGCTTCCACACCGAGATCCTACATTCTTGTTAAAATTAGCTATTACATAACAATAATAATAATAAATTGCCTTACATTCTTAATTAACAAATAAAACCCTCCTCCTTTACATTCACAAATGTATTCAGTTAGCTGAAGCCGCTTGTAAGGCTTGTAAATTTAAATATGCTGAAGAATATCTATCACGTACAGACGATTATGCTAGTCTAATGTTATTAGCGACAAGTTCAGGGAATCGTAAACTACTTGAATGGATTGGCAAAGAAGCAGCTACGAAAGGAAATGATAATATTGCTTTTCTAGCACGTTTTCTTGTCACTGATTTGGAAGGTTGTCTTGAAGTAAGTTTATTATTAATATTATTATTTTGCATTGTAATCATTTTTATTTAATCTATTTATGGTTTTCTGCTTTTTTGTGTGCGTACGCGTGTGGGTAGGGGCGTTTTTTTACACTTTTAAAACCTTCCCACACCCTACCGTAGTTACCGCCCTGACTTTGATGATCGAGCTTCCATATCGTGATAATGTAATCAAGGTTTATCGACTTGAACTTGCTGGCATGATTGATGCGACCTAGAACTTTGTAAAGTATCATCATAAGAATATTCATCAACAGAGGTGGTTGAAACACTACCACCACCACCACCTATCTCGACAAATAATGTTGGTTGGTGTTTTAAGTAGGTCGGAAGAAAGTTAGGTACGATCAAACCAGTTCATAAAGACACTGACTATTGGACTGAGCTAAGTAGGTAGATGTCGACTACCTGGTTGGGTTCCGTGTGATTATCGTAACCAGTGGTTAGAGACTTTGAATGACATGGCTCAAAATCGTTTGTAATAGCGCAGGTGCATCCATTCCTTGTCTTTTCTTAGTTTCTAAATTCCCCATAAACTTTATAGTATTTCATTAATTTATGTTTATATATATCTTAGATGTATAATGTTTTCTATAACTTTTATTGATTGTATTGCTAACTCTACTTTTCTTGGATTTGACCTGACTATCCCATCTTGCTGTATTAATGAGCCATTGCAATTGGAACCGGTGTATACATATGCTAAGTTCTGTGTTGCGTTTAACTGGCTGAGAATAGATTCTATTTTAGCTTGCTTATTGTCGATTAAAAGTTTATGATATGATATAGGTTGTTGCGATATGAATCTGTTATTATATAACACTACAGGGTATCCTCAATGTAAGTGTATTCGAGCTCAAGTGAATGTGTAGTTCAGATTTTCTATGAAGCTCATACTCCATATGATTAATTTGAATGCATATTTTTTGATTGTGCCTCTCCTTCAACCACACAAATAATTCTATCTATTCCATATGATTACACCAATAAATTCATTAATTATCATCCTATAAGTGTAATTGATTAATGGTATAGGTTACTTAACTTCGAAACAATAAGGTTACAGGCTTATATCTTACTTCTCCTACTTCAATGCAACTACTTACTTACTTACTCCTGTTGCTCCTCGTGAAAGAGCATAGGCCGCCCACCAGCATTCTCTATGGAATGCTGTCCTGGACAATCTTTTCTAGTCGCTATCCAACCCTTTGGTTTGTGCTTCCGATTCCCAACGCAATGTGTGACTTGGTCTTCCGCTTCTCATTTCGCCTTCAGGATTCCAAGTTGCCTCGTGATGCAATGTGATGGATTAGACAGTGTGTGTCCCACCCACTTCCGGAGTCTTTCCCTAATTTCCTCTTCAATTGGAAGCTGGTTTGTTCTCTTACACAGTAGTTTGTTGTCGATGGTATTCGTCCAGCGAATATGAAGTAACTGGCGTAGATAACTGTTTATAAATGCCTGTGTCTTTTTCATGATGGTTTTAATAGTCCCTCAAGTTCCTACTCCCTACAACAAAACTGTTTTGATGTTCGCATTGAAAATGTTGACTTTGATATTGGTTGACAGTTGTTTCGAATTCCGTATGTACCTCAACTACCCTTACTTTTCCAATTCTTGCCTTTACGTCTGCATCGGATCTTCCTTATTTGCAAATTCCAAATCGTTTGGTTGCAATGCACCTAGTTGGACAGTTTCTCTCTATCCTTCATACATTAAAAATGTGAGCGAAAGTCCCTTGCATAACACCCCCTCCCTTTAATGAATATGTATTACACTAATTACTTGTTAATTTATCCCAATTATTTAACTAATTTTGTGTTTTTTTTATACTTTTTATCATATTCTTACTTAGTTGTTAACAAATGCTAAACGATTCCCTGAAGCTGCATTTTTTTCTCGTACATATTTACCAAGTTATATGCCTGAAATAGTTGAACAATGGCGTAATTGGTTAGATAAATCAAATAAAGCCAGTGCAAAAATTGCTAATTCTTTAGCTAATCCAAAAGATTATCCAAATTTATTTCCAGATCTTGAGGTATGTTTACATTCAATCACCTATATACATATATGTATGTGTTCGTACAGAAAACACCTTTGATAAGGATACTTTCTCATTTCCCACCATTTTTATTATAGACCTATTCACTATCTTACAGTGTATACTTGGAAACAGAAATCCTTGTAATTTCTATGATACGAAGTGAAAATACAAACATTGGTACAGTTGATGAGTTATTGACTTTAACTCTCTCTCTCTCTCTCAAATGATCCTAGAACAAGGTCCTCACATAGCAACCTGTTCAAAATCAGATCATCATTAAACCAATTATACTCATATGACTGATTTTACAAACACGAATGTTATAGGATCATTAGTTATTAAGTTTATTGATGAACAGTTCACTAAATACAATAAATAACACTAACGATTACCTTCAATTTACCTGTTGTCCCCATTAAGCTTGCTATTGCTGATCAAGCCCCCGAATGTCCTGGTAAAGTCGAGGGTAGGGAGAGCCAACTCTCCCTCTCAAATGACCACGTGTATACAGCCACTGACAGGGACGTCCTATTCACTGCATTCTCAAAGAGGGGGTGTTGTTTACGAAATTGAGAGGAAGAAAAGCAGATGGATACAGAGTATCTATCTAGGAGAGTTGGAAAACCCTGATTCCAAACCAATGGTGTGCATATAGGCTCCAGGATCCTAAGCAAACAAATGGCGTATGAACCTCTTGTTGGTCACCGATTACCATGAGACTGCATCTGATGATGTTACTTCACTGTCTTGTGGATTAGACCTCTAGGTTGAATGCTACGGGTGTGGCCCCATAAGAAAAGCACCTGGTTCAGTCTGGGCACCCATGCAGTGTCCCAGCCTACACACAACTAAATAAATGCATGAAAACCGTCTGTCCAATTAGGATGCCAAAAACCTCAAAAGGCCAATTTACTTTTTATATTCATTACTTAAAATCTCATACATCAATTACAAAACTACAATGCACCATAAATAGACAATCACAATCTGTGTATAATTAGGGCATTTACGACAGACAACTCAATAATACAGGTACATAATTGACTGATTACAATTTCTCTATGGTAAAATATGCATCAACAGTTAGTGTGTCAAATGAAAGCTTATATTAAAGGCCATACAGGAATACTAAAAGCCAATCACTGATTAGAGTAGATCAAATGTGGCTAGCAGTAAAATCCAGGACACGCGTTTCGTCCTATATACTGGATGTACTGGCATCCCAGCGTTAGTGTTCACTGCGGGATTCACATCTAGTACCTCCTCACAGTCCCACCTTTCCATTTATTCACCTCTGACTAACACTTACAGTTTTCATGTTTTATATTTTTCAAGCAACTATGTGTTAATTTGTAGTTCATTTGTATTTGTCACTTAAATCTTCCCATTATTGATGTTAAAGACTGCAATTGATCAGTCTCTTTTCGATATGTATTCATGATGTTCAGATTGCCATTAAAGCCGTAAGGATATTGAGTAGAAAATCTGGGGTGTAGCTATTAGTAGAATCCAGGATGCGCGTTTCATTCTGTTTCGGACTCGTGAGCTCTAGTATTTGAAGTAAGAGTCACTGGGTTCAAGTTTAAGTTTAAACATCATCAACACTGGGATGTATGTTGTACATCCTACCGACCAGTCCCAAATGAGATGAAATACGCTTCCTGGATTCCACTACAAGCTAATATGTAGTGTTGATTATTCCAGAGTTCCGATTGTTTATATTTGTAAACAATATATCTTATCTTAACCCGATGATCTTACCAGATTGTCTTTGTTCATTGAATGTTACATTACACACACAAAAAAATGTTGCGAAAACATTCATTTCAAAGAATTGTTAGATTCAGATTATTAGTTTTGATTGTTATTGACTTCTTTTAGGAGGCTTTATCCACAGAAAAATGGTTAAAAGCTGATAGAAAAGCACGTTTAAATTTACCCGCTTCAGCTTATCCAACTCAACAGTTACCAGGTGATCGTGATCTTCACGCTGAAATGCAAAATAAACCTATCCCCATGGAACCATCATCATTTGATGATAAATTACCATTTCATGGTAATTTAATTTCAACAACTACCATAAATAATAATAATTATATACCGACTATTGAAGAACAACAACAGGAAACTATTTCACCGCCTGTTGTTATCGCTCCAACAACACTACAATCGAATAGTAACAATCGAAATGATTCTGGAGATAGTGAATTAGACTCGGTCAAATTGATCGGAGATGAGGAAGAAGAGGAAGCAGATGAAGAAGAGTTGGACGATGATGTTGACGATGACGACGACAACGAGGAGGAGGAAGAGGAAGAGAATAACAATAATGATCAAGTGGATGTTGAAGCAGAACATATTGAATCTTGGTACGATGATGATGATGATGATAGTGATGATAATATCGTCGACGAGAAACGTAGTAGTGAAGTGAAAACCACATTGTCTGGAATAGGGAAATAGTTTAAATATAAATATTTTCTACTTTAATATTGTGATCACTGTTATTTACTCCGAATTGATTTACTTTCTGTCTATTATTGACTTTTTGTTAGTCTATTGTTCTTCTTTTATTGGTTTTATGTATGTTTATTTGTATACTGGGCTTGTTCACCAGTTTTTTGGTTGTTTGTGAAGTGGTTATGCAGTCTAATAACAACACATTTATACATAATATACACTTGTATGTATATTTTCTCTGTTTTAATATTATATCACAATCAACGATGGTCTCACAATACATTGAATTGATTGAAACTAGACATGTACACTGTTGAATAGTTGACTTGTTGGTTTATAGATGAAGCGTTCACTCGTGACAAACTAAAAAAAACATCCTTGATTCGATTTCTTGTGACAGAGTTGTAGGTTCGCTCTGGTGTATAGTTCCATATCAGTAGAACGAAACAATTATTCAATGCTTCCTGGTGTTAAGTAGCGGTCTAGCTAAGATTAGTTCATGATTTAAAATAGTAAACGATCTGTTCCTTTTCAAAAAAGAAGGTTCCAAGTCTAATTACTCTTCAGTATATTAGTACTTAGCATATCGACAATTCGTTGTTAATTGCGTTGGCTATTTCATTTGTTTGACTAAGTATTATCAGTGGCTAGGAAATATTATTACGGAAAAAGGAGTCCTTGTTTGGTTAGGTTTGAGTGATTTAAATACTTATTACAGGTATGTATATGCTTTATGCTTTTTCGGATGACGTTATGCAAAAGTAAATTTCTGATCATATACAAATCTTTCCTAGCATTGACTACATTTGGTGAATCTATTGACCACTGAGTTCTCGATACAGAAGATACGTTAGGTGCTGAATGAAATTGGTTGTATTATTCATGTCAAATTATTGGTATATTGTAATGACTGGGACACGTGTTACGTATGCCCAACCACCGACTGCCTCGATGTGCGATGTTTTGTTGTATAGGAGTAGATTGGAAGAAAGCTAGGGGCGGCCAGATCAAAACATGGCACAAGTCCATGAAGTCACTGACACGTAGACTGAGACATGTTGGTAGGTGTAGACTACCTGGTTGGGGACCGCGAGATGATAGCAACCGATGGTTAGAGACCCTGAATGACATGGCTCGAAATCGTTTGCAGTGGCGCAGGTGCATTCACTCTTCGTGTTCTCCCAAATCTTAATCTTCTGAATTCTTCATGTCCCTTTTTCCTCTTTCCAAATTTATTTCACTGGATTATACTCCTTGAATAACTTGTTCAAACCCTAATCTTTCCGATTGCTGCTTATATTCTTACCACCTCTACCACTACGGGATTTGAATCGACAACTACATCTCTGTGCTAATGTGGTGTGGCCACTCGAACTGATGTACGTACGTACGAAGTTCTACGTTGTTACTGACTGAATGGTTAATAGTAAATAATTCCATATGTGGCCAGGTGTAAACAAGTCACTGAGAAATCTTCAACATGTCCAAAGTAGCAGTTTGTTGTTTTGCTGTTCTATTCGCTTAACTAGATCGTTTAATTACAGAGCACTCATTGTCTTTTTGGAGGACATGACCAGCAGATACTTCAGGTCAAAACATTGGTTTGAATTCGCTTTTATACACTGAATCATTTCAGTGTGTTTCATCAAAGATATGTTGACTTATTGCGAGAACGTTTCTTAGTGTATAAATGAAATCGTTAGCGTATTTTGATACGGAGGCTACCTCATAAACTAATGATCAACATGAACGTGTTGGTCCACTCCGCACTCTTTTTTTCTATTTCCAGCCCTGGGTCCGGAAGCGAAGTCACCCTCCAAACTTTTATTATTTCAAGCACATGTGGGTTTATGCATAAATATTCTAGACCGCACACACTGCATCATAATATAGATCATAGTTGTAGACAAACAGGCGAAAAGTTACTGAACCGGGCACTGTTAATAACTGATTAGCTATGCAGTAGGAATAATGTGTACAGTAATTATTTGTGTCGGACAGAAGTTTGCAATGAACGGAATATAGAAACACAGTGTTCCAGTTATCTAGTAATTGCTCAGTAAGAGTATATGCAATAATAGTCCATAAAATGGTTTCGGTAGCTCTTCAATCGTCGTTCTGACACGTTTGCTATCTCCAAAACATTACTGGCATTCTTTGAGAACACGTGATGTTACTTACGCATTGCAAGGTTTTTAATGCCTTTTTAGATATCAGCATGTCAAAAATTAACACAATTTCAATGCATTTTTATCCAAATCAAGGAATAGGAATAATACAGTGGTCTTGAGTGCTGTTAGAGGTATGAGGGAGGTTATCACTTCCCGGTTGCCCACACCGTGGAAGGGTTCTTCTGGAGGTACCTGAAAAGGAAATTGGATTAGAGGCGGTCTCAGTGATCTGAGAGCGTGACCGCAGTGCCCAAGGGAAAACTGCTTGAGGTCGGTCACACACGACCTTTTTATGGGTGATTTTTGTGTTAGCTCCGTACTTGTTGAGACCTTACCGCCGGAGACGGAAATCCGTGGGACAAGGCGAGGTGTGCATTTTTAGGGTCGACCTTTCCTAACCCCACCCCTCCTTGTGGGAAGGCAGCATCGCTGTCATGCTGGTTGTCTGAAGGAAACACCTTACTGCTCTCACACCTCTGTACAGTCAGCAGTACGACTTCGCCTTCGGATCTTGGGTTTGTTTCATTTAGTCTTACCGCTCTTCAACCGACATTTCTGACGTGGTAGGACCTTGAGGAACGGTTGTTCCAGCCAGTATAGCTCGGTTGCTTCATCACGACAGGCAAGCCTGACCACCTCGTCAAGGTAGCAACAACGGTCGAAAATGAAGGAATACAACAGAGAAGTAAAGAAAATAACTGAGCAAAATGTTACGCTAGTCAAATGGGATACCGTGTCATCTATGTATACATTAATGAATGTTAGAATTTCAAAACTAGCTTTAAAATTAGCCATCTAGTTTACAACACAAAAACAAAATGGAGTTTTCCAATATGGTACAGTTTCAGATTTAATTATGTTACCTGATTTTAAGAATCTCAATGATTTTCAAGTCAATATAGTCTGTACATCTACGATGGCTGGTTTAATTATTTCGGATCGTACAACACCCAGTGCCAGAAAAGTTGCCGTGCAAATTCGGATTTAACAGATTATTTGAGCTATGCTCTCCTCCTCATGATGTTCCACCATCCATAAGTTTGTTACTTGAAGATTTCGGCTAATGTCAAATGTTATATTCGTAGGTTACTAGTATTTGACCATGTGTTTGACGCATATTTTGGGATTATCAAGTGAACAATTTTGAGGTTGAACGTAGAGTCTTGGGGAATGGTGATGCATCGGTTTCGAATCTCCATAGATTTAGGCGGCCGGGATATATATTACGTATAATCAATCATCACTTACATCGATGAGTAATGTCTTTGGGTTGGGGTTGTAGGAATAATAGAAGTGGCTCGAACTGAAACGCAGTCTCACTCTTTGAGGCCACTGATAATTGTATTGAGAAATATTAGTAAATGCAGACTGGTTAGTCGGTATCCGAGCAGTTGATGTGTTGTATCAGTTGCCGTACTTTCCAGTCCGCCACAGAACATGCTCGTACTCTGTAATTATTAAGTATTGTATGCTTGAATCGAAAGATTTATATATTCAAACATAAACATTGGTACAAGGCGGCACCAAACAGATATGCACCACAAATATTATTTGATTTTTGTGAGGGCTGGAATACTGCACAGGTGCCTAAACCGAAGCACGTGGTCTACTTAGAGGGCCACACCTAGAGCCTTTAACCTAAAGGTCTAATCCACAAGACAGTGGAGTATCGTAAGGAGATGCAGTCCCATGTTAGCCGTCGACCAATGATAGGTCCATACGCCATTTGTTTCCCTAGGATGCTGGAGTTCATGTACATCGTTGGTTCGGAATTCGAGTTTTCCAACTCCCCTAGATATCCACTAATCCGGTTAAATCGCCGGACATTCGCTTTTCGTCCTCTCAATTTCGTAAACAACACTTGTAGTGCGTGGCCAATTGAGAGCACTCTCGTCTGGGCAAGTTTATAAAAACTGGTTGCAGACATTTGATGAGGTGATTCAGAACTGGTTTGGATGACATCAATGCATTCACTCTTTATCTTTCCTTATTCTATATATATACTCTCCAACGATATTGTTTATACCCAACTTTTTCTTACTAGCGCTTATACTACTACTATTAATACTGTGGTACTCATCTTGATATCGCTACGCTAATGTTATGGCATGACAATTTGATTCGATCGACTATTGTCTAGATGTATGTAGATTATGATTAATCCATATTACTGAAATGATTAAAAACATACTTCAAAGCAATGTGTAAAATTAATTTATTCTACCATAATATTGTTTACATACATACATACACACACACACACAGAGGGATACACATGATAAATTAATCCATTATCCATTAGTAACCAATACAAAAGTGAACCAAGTCCCTCAGAGATAAATTAAAAGAATAAAATAGAGAGAGAGAGGGGGGAGGACCAAAACGACATTATTATTAACCAATTAGAAAGAAAATAATGTGTAAAAACGTACAAAAAAAAGAAAGAAAAGAAAAGAGAAAACATTTAAAGAGGAAAAAAAACAAAACAAAATAAACAATCAATATCTGAAATTAAGATGAAAAAATATTATTATTATTATTATTATTCCATGATTAAATTATAAAACATACGTAAAATCATATCATTCTTCTCTCTTTATATATAGATATATAAATATCGAAAATGATTGTACATTAACCATGTACATCATACATAACGATAAAGAACATGTATTGATCTGTTCAATTAGTTGCCATAATGAAGTAGTATAGTGATAGTGTTTTATTTTTAAGTGGGTGGGTGGTACAGGGAAGACATGAAAGCAAAGAGAAAGAAGTGTTGTAGAGGAATCAAAACTTACACAAAAACACACATCATAATTATTACCAGTGGAGGGTGGTAGTGGTGGTGGTGAGAGAAATAGTAAAAATAAAATGAACAATAAAGCAAATATATTCCCATATATGCGCCCCAGGGTAACCCAAACCACAAAAAAAACAAATTGGAATAGGGAAGAGACAAACCAATAAAAAAAAGTGATAATAAGGCTTCTGTTCACATGATTGACCATTACAATTATGTTTACAGTTGTATGTGTGTGTGTGTGTATAGGGGTGTGGG